AAAGAACAATAGTACGTAATACAAACCTCTTTTAGTTCTTGAATTGTTTCAGGGTTATCCCCAGATACCTTGACTGTGCTATTAAGAGACTACAAAGAGATTTGATTAAGTCACTTTCACACTAGCCAAAGGCAACAACAAGATCAAGAACACAAAATAATACATAGTTCAGCTGCTACTGAGGGCAATATCAATCAATGTTCATTATATCAGCTGTATCAACAAAGCACATTAGTGTACATGCATAAAGGTCTTTCATAATTAATGATTAATTTTGGTTGTCTTACTGCATGTAATAGAAGTGGTAGCTGATCATGGCATTTTGGTATAAGTCTACTCAAATAATAAAGCTACAAAAGGAAGCAGCATTCATTATTTGCTACAATAACAATATTATTTTACTGTTGATGTCCAAGACTGTATGTGCTGGTACAATTCAGAGTCAGGAGAGAAATCAGGATTCTAAATTTTAAAAAATACTGTTATTATACAGTAGCTCCATGGAGGAACAAGCAGATATGAGTACATTACAACTACTAGGAGAAAACCATTCCATTTAATATATGTACATGCCCAATGTATGATTCACCTGTTTAATAAGATATGGTTTCAGTGTTCCAGTAAAAGTGTCTAGATCTTCTCTGAATGACTCCAAGCCTTTCTCCCTCAGAGAGAGACAGCAGAGAAGATATTTTGACTTATTAGTATCTTTAGTTGGAGAGGAAGTGGAGTTGGGCCTCTTGTGAGGACTAATGAGACATGTGTACAACTGCCCACTGTTGGTGGACCTACAAAAGAGAAACAGCATCAATTCAATACCATATAATGAATGATTATATTAAAAAACTTAAAAACTGGGCAAACGCATTATGACAAATGGTACAAACATATAACTAATATGGTAAGTGTTCATGCCCACATAACACACCATTTCATGTATGAAGAGATAAATTTCTATGTGTTAAGGCACTTCATTTTATAATTAAGAGTTATGTGTATTGTCTCAAAGCTTATTATGTTTCATCTTATAATTTTTAAAATTGCCCAAAATTTTGATCGGAATCAGTTCAAAGTTTCTATGTAATGCAAGAAAATGTATGTATCAAAAAATTTTAAAATGAAGAATCCTTTCCAAGTGATTTTTGACAAAATATCCTAAACTATAGCACAAGAACTTTGGCAAAATTTTGAGCAATTTTAAAAATTCATAAAAAAATCAAAATCTGATCAGAACCAATTCAAATTTTCTACACAATATAAGAACATGCATGTGCTCTAGAAAAATGATTAAAATGAGGAATTCTCTACCTTTTACTTTTTGCAAAAATTTTGAAGCAACTTTAAAAATTCATAAAAATTCAATTTTGATTAGAATTAGTTCAAACTTTCTACAATTTATGTACAAGTATACGTATAATAAAACATTAAAAAATCTCTCCTAGCTGTAATATAATAATGTATATATAATAGTCAAATGGCTTTTTGGCAGATTTTTGAGCAAACTAAAAAAATTCATAAAAAATCCAATTGAGATTGGAATCGATTCAAACTTTGTACATAATAACAAGAACATGTAACCATAGCATTCACGATAACTTTACTTTGTTTGAAATGATGAGACTACACCACAGCCAGGTCGGAGGGTCCAAGGCTTAATGTTAAGGTCTTTTAAGAGACTGAAAAGTCTATCTCTCCCATCGCCAGTCAAATTACTTAAAACCACCTGCAAACTAAAAAAGAGAGGAAGAGAGAGCAGAAAAGAAAGAGAGAAAAAGAAAAAAATGAGAAGACATACATGTACATGCCATTCCAATTGCAAATAATAAAAGAGAGTGTAATCAAGAAAATTTAATGCCCAATGTGATATTATGAGTCTATGGACCAAATTAGCTACAATATCATTTACTAATATATCTAATTCAGAAGCTAAATCATTTATAAACCAAATATTGCTATCTAACGATCACACCAAAAATAGGAGGAGCCTCATTATGATTTAACTCTTGGATGCATATCAGACAATACATAGTAACTATTATTTATGAACCCTGATATAACTCACATATTAATAAAGCAATAAATATTCCATTATATTTGTAAGTAGTTTATGTGTAGAGGAATATAATGGAAATAGGATTTATATAATAACAAGTACCATTCTTCCAGTTTGGTATCACTATTTCCATCAACCACTGAAGAGCAAAAAAGGCAAAAGTCCCCATCCGTCCATTCCAAGTCGATTATATCTCCCAGCAGTCCTCCTCCATCACTTTCACCAGAAGTTACAGCACCATTCATGTCGGCCATTTTCTGTAAGCAGGCGTGGAGTTAAAAACATGGCCGGCGCATTACGCTATTTGTAGCCGACGGCGGCGGCGCAAATCCAATGCATGTTCAATCATAGTAGTATCTATGGTTCAATTTCAACTTATGATTTCCAAATTCAAATATTTCTATGATTAAATCAAACTACTTACAAAGTTTTCAACCTTTTCAGAACATCTTGTTGGCACCTTTCAGATACTTCAGCTAGCTTTAATAGCATTCTATCAGCCAATGTCTTAGGAATTCCAATTTCATTGGTATAAACTTTGTAATACTTCGATATTACGTCTGATTTTTTGGCACTAAATTTAGCTGCTACTTTGTCTTCAAAAGTAGTAATTGCTTTACCTTTGAAACCCTTTAAGTGACATAGTGCAAAAGCCAGACAAATTTCATCTATTTCTCCTACACACTCAAATGGCGTTTGTGATCCCAGACCAAGCATTTGAAAGAAGAAGATTTGGTTCTCTTCTACATCAAAAAGATTCTCGTCACCAAAAGTATCATGAACTACTGCTTGAGGAAGATATGCTGAAAACCCCAACCAGACATAGCAGCATTTTGGACAGCGGAGGCACCAAGGTTTACTGAAGTTACACGAGTGAGTGACAGTGGCAGCTGAAGTATGAGAAGAGAGATAATAGAATATCAGTGAATCATGTATCGGCATTAGAGAACTAAAGTATGACAAGTTAGATATCAGATTCTCCGTAATATAAGAGGCAAGAAGCGTCTCACATTCATATGACTTGAGCCACTGGTGGTTGATCTCTTCCCCGTTAACGTCCCATACCAAATTACCTCTATTAGCACTTCGCTCATGTGCCAAGCAAAATTTGGTATACCCATACTTAAGTGCTATTGGGAACGACTCAAATAAAGTGCTAAAAGTCTCAGCTGATATCACTGACTTCACCTCAGCATTAGGGATTACTGCAGGTAAAGGTGAGCTCAAGAATGAGTCTAGAATTGTCAGACGATGATGTTTCTTTGATGCAGTATGATTCACAAGAGAATCCGTGAGGTCGTGCTGCTTTTCTGTTTGGCCATATATTGAGTGAGCATAGCTTATCGAATGGAACGGTTCTCCTATATCTTCCAGAAGCTTCATAGATGCTAGACTATCCTTTCCCCCTCCATTAAATGCTAGACATTGCACGGGACCTTCTTTGATGCTAACGAGGTTTCTGCTGGTGGTGGTGACATCACTGTCAAGTTTGCAAAACTCTGGCCCTTTCCAATTCGGGAGAATGTTTACAAATCTCCACTCACCAAATGATTTGATAGCTAGCTCTCGCCACAAGTCTTCCAATTTCTTAGAGAAATATTTAGAAAAGCTCCCCAGGTCAATGTACTTGAGTGAAGGAGCTAGTGTGCATAGTTTATTCATCTCGAACAATGCACAATGCAAATACACCTCCTCCATGAAGGAGACACCATACATTGCACCAAGGTCTTCAAGTTGAAAAGGGTACCAGACGGTTGTGCTGAAACATACTCCTCCAGAAAATCGATACAACATGTACAATTGCGACCCGGAGTGAGATATAAGCTCCAACTTCAGGGTTTTATCAGTAAAAGCATCTTCCATGATGGCATTGATTAGATCTGTTGATTAAAAAATAAATTAAATTCCATTTCATTACTCCACCCACTTTCCCATGCTCAAAAATGGGGTCTCAGTTGCCAGTCTCTGTCCAGCTATAGGTCTAATAGTAGCTATTCCACGCAAGCTTGGGTGCCTCATGGTTTGTCTTGTTACATTGTACTATTGACACGGTGAGTCTGATAGTCTACAAGATCTCTTGCAATGTGCCCCCACTCTAGCTTTAAGCTTTTCCCCGCAAATTGGATCAAATCAATCACATGATTGTCACATGTTACGAGCTAAATTGATTAATTTTAGGATAATCATCATAGATCAATAGTGACTAAAATTATGTGCTAATCGTGCTTTTTGCATGTGGCGAGGTCTTTGGGGTTTGTAGTCCAGATACAGTACAAACATGACGAGAAACATGATCGCTGGTGCAAGCAATACAAGCTTAATTTAATAGCAATGATGTAGCGTAGACAGTATTGTCTGAGTGACATAATGTGAATGTTAGCTTATATGAAAGGTAGTTAATATAAGATTATATGGTTGTATTAGTCCTTGTGGATCGTGACTCTATAAATCTTACGTCTTGCACTGGGTGTGGTATAATTAGTGTACAACTGTGCATGTATTATAATAATTATGATCTTTATATAGCTCCATCTTATTTTATAGACCAGCATTTATTACTCTGATGGCGACTGATAGGATCAAACAAGAGACAAAGAGAGTTTATAGTTCCCTAGAGCTGAGGGGATTGTGTGATAAAGACTCGGAATGGGTCAATGTACTCTGGGACTCTAATCTTTGCCAGATTGAGGATAGTCTACAAGGGAATGGGGAGCTGGTACAGTTATTAGAGAGACTATTGCAGTCTCCATTGCAACTGAAGGAAGTTGTATCAGTTACTAAAGACTGGATATGTAATGATGCTTCTCATTGCTCTGTCTTTAATGGTAATATTATTGATTATATTATATTATATTATATTATATTACATTTATGCTGTGTAATTAATTATTTTTGTTGTTTTAGATGAGTGTGAAGATGATGATACGACTATAGTTAGGAGTATCACTGGTTTTTGGACCCTATTGTATGATATTGGAATTAACTATCAATCATTGCTTGCTCTCATTGTTTCTCTTTTGGAGAAAGATAAATCAGTGAGTCATTCATTAAGATTCTTCCCTCTTTTCCCTTCTCTTCTTTTGTTCCTTCACATTATTTTCATTCTCTTTATTAGTCTATGATTGAAAGACTCACTTCTGTTTATTGTGCTCAGTTGTACTTCACATTATTACAGATACCAGGTACAATTTAATTATTATCATTGTTACCATATTATAGCTATAAATCTGAAAGTATATGTACCACTAACCATTATTGGCTTGATTAAAGTCCAAGCATTTATTTTATTTCTTAAAGAAAGGCAGTTAGGCATTAAAATCAGATTTGTGTTCATTCTTTGATCAAGCATGTACATGTACATCAAGAGTCCATGGCATGTACCTGTACATACCGGTATTACTATTATTATATTTCTCATGTACTGTTCTTGAGATTATGCATGTACATGTAGTTAATGATTCTTGTAATTGTTAGGTTCTGTTGCTTATAAAGTATTTCATCCAATCTTGTTCCAAAAGTCTCTTGAAGTCCTCAAGCTACTTCAACATAAAACTATTCATGGAGGCTCAATTGGTTAGCATTGTACACTGTACACATGTACATGTACATAATAATGTAGTATGTACATGCATACATACAATGTACACTGATCACCTGATCACTTTATTGCTGAAGTGGATGGAGTGTTAGGTGCTGCATTCATGTATGGTATAATGTATGAGCTATGCCCACTACTCTCAGTCATCAGTATTGTACTTCAAAGCATATGAAAAATTGTGCAAATATAACTTTTAAAATGTTATATGTACAAATCATGTACATGTTATAATGTACATGTACATACATGTATATATGTACTGTACATCTATCATATGATATACATGTACTTCACATGTATGTTTCAGGTGGCATTGGTTCTAAGAGGAGGAGGAGCACTAGTAGCAGGAAGCCAAGTGTTAGTAGTAGAGGGAGTAAGAGGAGCAGGAGCATAAGGAGTGTGTCCACTCAGTCGATGGATGATGATGATGATGACAATGATCAGACTCCTCCTGATAGCTATGATCATCTGATTGAATTAAGGAGCAGTTTGAGACAACTTCTGGTGGTAATTTTTATTCTGTTATTTTTAACCATTCAGTTCCTCTCTCTCTCTCTGCTCAGGATTTAAGTTCTCTTCTTCATAATTTTTCCCTCAAGGATCATGATCCTACAAGAGAGCTACTGATAACTTCATTATTGTCATTATCACTGCATGTGGTGGACATGTCTCACAAAGGAATGGAACTAAAGTTAACATATACTAATAATGATATATTGTGTTTTGCACTAATATTAGAAATACACATTGTGCAGTATAGCAGGATTGTTGTATGGGCAGAACTCCACTTAAACTTTACTTATTTGCATGTAATTTATTGCCCTTGATCAAAATACTGAATAAACTCTACATGTAGTTTTATTACCATACAATTACATGTATGTACTTACAGGTTTTTATTGTTTTTTTTATTACACATACATGTATTGTATATAATTGTTCCTATTATCTAGTTTGGTTGATCCTGTCCTTAGTCCCACCCATTGCTTGGTATGGTTGTGTCTCAGTGCTCTCTGTTCTTCATCCCAAGGGTCTATTGATGGTCTACTGATGGAAGTGTTTAAGCACCTCATTCCTCCAGTCTCTATGGTTATTGATGAAGGAGGAGCCTGTCCTACTCCAATTCCTGTTCCTTTGATTGTTCGTAGTCAGCATGCTGTCATGTTTATAAGGTAAATGTGTCTTACTCTGTTACTATATTATTTCTACTCTAGTACATAGTATAAGGTTTTCATTTTTTTAGCTAATTAAAAAATTGTAAAAAATTCAATTTTGATTAGAATAAGCTCAAACTTGCTACACAACATAAAAACATGTATATGTATCAGAAAAAATTATAAAAGTTGAGAATTCTCTCCTTTTCAATTTTGGCAAAATTTGGCCTGAGACCATGTACTGTAGTACAGGGACTTTTGCCTGATTTTGGAGCAACTTTAAAAATTGATAAAAAATCAGAATTTGATCGGAATCAGCTCAACCTTTTTACACCACATAAGTACATGTACAGTATATGTATCAGAAAAAATTATAAAAGTTGAGAATTCTCTCCTTTTTAATTTTGGTGAAATTTGGCCCGAGACCGTGTACTATAGTACATGGACTTTTGCCTGATTTTGGGAGCAACTTTAAAAATTCATAAAAAATCGGAATTTGATCGGAATCAGCTCAAACTTGCTACACAACATAAGTACATGTATATGTATCAGAAAAAGTATAAAAGTTGAGAATTCTCTCCTTTTCAATTTTGGTGAAATTGGGCCCGAGACCATGTACTATAGTACAGGGACTTTGCCTGATTTTGGAGCAACTTTAAAAATTCATAAAAAATCGGAATTTGATCGGAATCAGCTCAAACTTTATACACCATATAAATACGTGTATATGTATCAGGAAAAATTATTAAAATGAAGAATTCTCTCCTTGTAATTTTGTCGAAATACCCTGTACTATATAGTACAGGGACTTTGGCTCAATTTTTGAGCAGCTTAGACTATCCACTGGCAAGAAACTGCATGAGAAGTATGCAGGAAACCCTCTAATTATTGACTGCTTGTCTCTCTTTCTCTCCAATAGTCATATAGTTAAGAGGTGTGGCCCTGACTCTATCTTTCCTCTTAAGAAGTTATTACAGCATGTTTGTGTGGGGGCTCCTGATAAAGCTGAGTACCGTGGGAAGCTTGTGGGTGTGGTCTACGCACTAATGAATCTATTGGATACTGAGACCTATGTTAGCTTTGTTCAATGGTTGTACAAACTATCTAAAAACATCAAAGTGAGCCATTACAATAATATGGTAATACCTTTTGTAATTTGTGTACATACAGTACTGAAGATTAATGTGTGTCTAGCTATACTATTATTATTGTTGTTGTTGTTGTTGTTATTGTTTTTGTTGTTGTTGTCGTTGTTTATAGGTTGCTTATAGAGTGTTAGCATTGGATATATCTTGTGAATTATTAATGAAGCCACTTCCATCTCCTCTCCCTTTCATACCCTGTGAATCGTCAGGTCAAGAAGATCAAGTGCCTTCCATTGGTTTGTATCAGTTTATCATTAAAATGATAATACCAAGATGCTCTGATCGCTCTCCAAAGTTAGAGTTGAAGAGAGAGAGAGAGAGAGAGGGAGGGATCGCAGGGTTTCTTACAGAATTTTGACTTTGTGCTTATGTTGGTTCTTGTCAGTGGATTGTTCAAAAAATACATATACCATTATACTATACAGGCTGTACTATTATAATGCTTGTCAGCTCATGAAGCATGCTTTTAGCTCACTTAGCATGCTTTGTGGGAAACCCTGGAGAGAGAGAAAAAGATAGGGAGGGAGGGGGAGAGGGAGAAAGAGTGGGGGGGTAGTGGTGATTATGTTTTCTTTTAGTGTTCGTGCAAAGGCTCTGTCATGTCTAACAGTGGCTAGTGGTTGTCATGACAACAAGGAACTGCTCGCTGTTGTAAAAGGTGCAGTTTTTGGTTCCAGCTCCAACCCTTCACTAGAGGAAGGGGCTCAGGATGGTAAGTGTCTTTGTGTTAGACCACAAAATCTGCAAATTTAAAAGCATCACATTTCCTGAGTATTATTTGGAATTGTTCATAATTAAAGGAATGGACTATGACTATGATACAGTCTATTCTTTATCAATTATAACTCATAGTTCTTTTGATCTGTTGTAATGTTTATTTCATTATTTTATTATTCATTGATAGGAGTTGTTGTGATGTCAATGATTAAAAGGCGTTGCTCTGATGATAAGGTCGCAGTGAGGAAAGCAGCTGTACAGACTATAACTAACCTTGCCAAACTGAGGGAATCAGGAATACAAGAACAGGTACGTGTACATGCACAAGTAGTTGATGAAATACATGTACATAATGCTATTGTGTACAGTATAACATTTTGTATTGAGTCATTGCCTCACCTACTGTACATTGCTATGGGGAGTTTTGGACTGAGTGACATATACTTAACAGCCTTTAATTGCACTTTATCAATTGTTTGGATTGTGAGGTGCCAAATGAGATTTCAAGCATTTTTACCAATAACAAGTACACATGTAATACTGATTGAAACAAAGTTATAGTATCTTTATACATGTACATGTATCATTTAATGTATTGGGTACACTCAAAGGTGTGACCAGCCTTTAATTACACATTATCAATTGTTTGCATTGTGAGATGCCAAATGACATTTTTACCAATAACATATAACATTGATTGAAAAGGTTACATTGTCTCATTGAAAAAGTTACATTGTCTTTATACGTAGTCGCATATATCATTTAATGTACAGTTCAATGATGTCTACTGCTGTTTGTGCTTCAAAGAAACCAGCGCCACATCCCCTGAACTCGATATCATCAGTAATGTTATGATTCAGTGAGCGATAGAACCAGGGCATTTTTGAGTCAGCTGGACAGCAAGTGGCTTCATTTTGATTGCACTGCTGTCCATCCCACAATGGATCAGTGATGTACAGTGGGTATACACCTGAAGCAGATTCGCAATAATAATCAAACCCAATGAATGATGTGCTTATGTTATCAGCAGTGTAATTCATATTACACGGACAACCATAGTAGTTAGTTTGAAATTCTTCCAGTCCTCCTGCGTACGTCCATATGTGCTTGCGTGGGTCCCTTCCATAAGTGATGGATATACCATTAACATAAGCGCCCTCAATACCGGAACTGAGGTACGTAAAAGCAGCCACCATGTTAACTTGATACCCTCTGACTTGCCCACACACTTTACTGTACGTCATGTTGTTAGCTGAGAATAGTGTTGATACACAGGCCGGCTGTTCACCTGGCTTACCACAGAGTGTGTGGTTGTTTAGTGTAACTGGGTATAGGCCAGTGGGACAGGTAGCACCGGGCTGGGTCATGTTAAGATATCCTACTCTAGTCCAACCACCTTCTCCATCACAATTGATACCCTCCATATCACAATACACCTAATGTATAGTACACAAGTAATGTACATGTATGAAATTGGAGGATTAGATATACAGTATACATGTACATGTAGGTTTAGAATGTGTTATTACTATATGGAGTTTGTTTTTTTTAGTAAAAATGAATTGCTTAAAATAAAAAATTTCCAACTATGCAAACCCAATTATATTAAGTATGTACATGCATCCTTTGCTTTGATCAGTATGGCTGCATGAAGCTGGCAGTATGCTTGAGCTACCATTGAGCTCTCTGCTCCTGTAAAGTCAATTCTAGATCAGTGATCATGCACAACTACAAAATCAATTCATGCAGTGAACTACACATGTACACGTATGCTCATGATAGTGTCGTATCCTCATTGTATTGATTGTAAACTCTGGAAATGATATTAGTGACTCAAGTACAAGCTGTACCTAACCTCAGTTGGTGTTCCTCCATCAGGAAATATAGTATAGGCACCACTTATGTTATATCCTCCCTGGAACCAACTGGGACAATCTACTTCTACAAAAAAGTTAAATAAATGTATAATTGGTTATTTAATAGTACCTGTTGGACAGAGCTTTGATCGTACTTTAGGACAGAGAATGTATTTATTAATACCAGGTTCCCTGATAGTAACAGACTGTCCTAAGTTACTGTTAACACAGCATACTCTTAGATACAGTGATAGTCCTTTGTATTGATGTGATCCAGTATTAGTACAGTCAGTAGACATGCAATAAGATCCTTTGGTACCATCACAAGTAGCTATCAATATTAAGAATAATAAAGAAGTATTCATTGTAGTGTTTTGATACTGTTGAGCGGTGTGAAGAGTTGTCTCAAGATTTTTATACTTAGTATTTGCGGAGCTTAGGTGTGGTTTTATCTAATTGATATTGTTGTATTGTGACAAAAGCAAGCAATTGGTGAGAAAGTATTTTGTTGATACCTTGTAGTACATTCTTATGTAATTGTTAATAATTAGAAAATATGTAGCCTTGCCCTTTATCTGTCCTTCTCCTTTCAATGTTATAAGTCCTAAGGCATCTTCTTGTTAACTCTGTGGTGAGTGATGATACATTTAGAGCAACAGAACTCTTAAGTGGCTTCTGTTGACACAGAAACAGAGTAAATGTAGATCAACGTTCAGGATATTTGCACCTAAAAATACTTAAAAGATACTTCCCGATTTTTTCTGTTTTGTTCAAAGCTTGAACCCATTCTAATCAAAGGCAAATTTTACTAACAATCTTACTACTAGTGTATTTTTATTTTTTAATTTCACTGTTCCTATTTGTATTTAATTTCTTTCTCTAATAGGATGTGTTGGTGGTTCATGAGAGATGCATGGATCTATCATTATCAGTGAGGAAACAGTCCATTGTATCACTAACCTGTCTAGCACTTATGAATAAAGACACTCAATATAAGAGATTGCACTGGTAAGGAGTAGAGGGTAGAGATAAGAATTATTTATATTTAAATAAAAATTAAATGTAGGAATAAGAATTTTTAGCTTATCATATATTATATTATATTTTGTTACATTACTTGTATTGTATAAGTGTGTACCACTTTCTCTCCTTTACTTTTTCCTTCTCTTCTATCTACAATCTGTTACCCCCCCCCCCTCTCTCTCCCTATAGTCTGTGGTTGGATGGTATTGTCCCAATGGTGCTAGATAGGGAAGCAAGTGTCAAAGAGAAGTGTTTGGAAATATTAGAAACAGTTGTATTGAATGAGTTATCTAAAGGAGACAGTGACTTTGTATGGAGACTGCTTAGCTTATTAACTGATGAAGAGGAGGACCGACACGATCTCAGGTATTGTACAAAAATTGTGTTGTGTTAAATTGAAAAAGAATTTAATTTAATGCATGTAGTCTGGGGGTAGGGTCTCCCACAAAGCATACTAAGTGAGCTATACTGCATGCTTGCTTTATGGCTGACAAGCACTAGAATACAGTTTACATGGCATTTAGAGCAACTTTATAAATTCATAAAAAAATTCAAATTTGATCGGAATTAGTTCAAAGTTGATACACAGCAGTTGAACACTATGCCAAAATTCTATGGGGAAACCAAGCTTGTCTGGCACTAGGAAATACATGTATAAGTCTATCTCCAAATAAAAAATAATGTCAAACTCAAACTTCTATATAAAGGTTTTACTGTATGTAATTATAATTATCATGTACTGTAGGAGGTGTCTTCACTTCATAATTGAGAACTGGTGCGTTACTAATAAACTAAACCCTCAAACGTTAGAAGAGATACAGAAACAATCAGAGAATGACCCATACAAACAAGTACTCACTATATCTCCAATTCTCCATTAAAGTATTTATTATATTTTTTATAGATTTCTTGGATTTTATTGTCTGAAGTGTCTGCCTTCAGTTCATCAATAGGAACTGACTTCCTCCTGAGCAGTTGGAATAAATACAGCAGCCTTGCAATGGCTACCGGGCACACCCATCTCTTTGTGTCACTCTTAAAAATGTTAGGCCACTCGGCTAGAAGACAGGAGCTAGGACATGCTTTTATGAAAGACCTCAGCAGTAAGGGGAAGAACAGAAAGCTAATTTTTAATAGTTATTTTATTTTATTTCTTTTTTAAATATTAGCTCATTGTTTGTCGTTATTATCATCATTCAAGTGTCCATTTCTTGTCATATCCACAATCATTAACACACTAACAATGATTGCACTATCAACCTCTGGAAATAATCCCAACACTTATAAGGTTAGCATTTTTACTTGTACATACATGTATATGTACACATGTATGTACAATTGTATTGAATCACATATACATTTTAGCCTACATGAGTTTTCATTATCATTAGTGTACATGTGCACATGTAGTCATGTACATGACACTAAGATATATTTTATTTATTCTACATCTTTTAGGATCAACTCGTTGAATGGTTATATCCTATACTGCACTCATGTGAGGAGTATGTTAAGAGTGTATTGAGTCCACAGGATGGGGCCATGTCATGTGACCCTGAGCAGGAGTCATGTGACACCACCACTTGTATTAATGAGGAGGAGCTCAAACCTTATCTCTTTACACTAGGGGAGCTCGGACAAGTATGAGTAATGGGTTGTATCTTATATATTTCTCTCTCTCTCTCTCTCTCTCTAAATCCTTTCTCTTCCTTACCTCTCTCTCTCCCCTTTTCTTTCTTTTTTCTCTTCAGTTAGTGCCTCATAAGTTATCCAGTTCAACAGGTTCACTAATCCAGTCTTTACTTGTCTCTAACATGGAGAGTCCTTCTCCTCCACAATTATCGCACTCGTTCCTCTCTCACCTCTCACACCTCACACCCTCACTACAAGCACACGCTTACATCACTCTTGGTAGGTCACACGACATATTCCGACCAATCAGAATCCTTTATGTGTATGTTTAGGTAAATTGTGTTTGAATGATGAAGAGTTATCAAAGACTAGTTTATTGCTGATGGCTAATGATTTGGAGCACTCAGCCCATGACTCAGTGAGGAGCAATATAATATTAGTCATGAGTGATCTGGCCATCAGGTAATATCAACTACATGTATATACTATAGTTTATGTTAATGAGTTGTTGATATCTCTCTCTCTCTTTTCAATTTTCTCTCCAGATATTCAGCTAAGGTTGATCCTTATATTTCCTGTATGACAGTATGTCTTAGAGACCAGTCACTTATTGTTAGGAAGCAGACACTCACTTTACTTATCCATCTACTGCAAGTAAGGAATACACTGTCTCTTTTTACTGAAGAGATCCAATGGTGCATGAATAATGTACAATCAATGTACATTGTACATATATTAAATGTAGTCATTTGTATTGTCTAGTCCTTTTCCTTTGCTGTTTTTATCTTTCATCTCTATCTTCCTTTTCCCCTGCTCTCTTTCTTTGTGATTTTACAGGAGAATTACATTAAGCTAAAAGGATTAGTGTATTATCATTTCCTGTACACACTAACAGACAATGATCTAAAGTCTTTGACTGTGTATTCACTAGTCTACATTATACATGCTAGGATGCCCAACATATTTTACAATAACTTCATCGAGACGATATTTCACTTTAACAACTACACCAAACATGAAGGTCAGTTTGTACAGTATAAAGTAGCAACGTACCATGTACATGTACTTGTGTACATGTAACAGGGGTACTCATAAAAAGCATGCTTGACTTTTAGAGTAACTTGACTTTTTGATTGGAATCAGCTTACAAAATTTTAATCAAAAAAATTGAAATTGGATGGTTATTTTGAAACAATTTTTTGCAACTTTAAAAATTCATAAAAAATCCAATTTTGATCGGACTCCACTCAAACTTTCTATACAACTTAAGTACATGTATATGCATCAAGAAAAATTATAAAAGTGGAAAATTCCTTCCTTTTCATTTTTGGCAAAATTGGGCCCAAGACCCTGTACAGGGTCTTTGGTCCAATTTTGGAGTAACTTTAAAAATTTATAAAAAATTTGATTTTGATTGGAATCTGTCAAAATTTTCTACACAACATAAGTACATGTATATGCATCAGGAAAAATTATAAAAATGGAGATTTCTCTCCAATTCATTTTTGGCAAAATACCCATGTAGTACATATGGTCTTTTGCCTGTTTTTAGCAACTTTAAAATCTGCCTTCTTTACCCCAATTTAATTTGACGCATATTGAGGATTTAAAGAACTACCATTTTTGGTGGATTTTATAGTAACTTTTGGCCGCATATTAAATTTTTAACAACTCACATTTTACATGTATGTATGTTTTATAGTTTATAATCAGTTGAATCAGTCAGAGAGAGAAAAAGAGTCATTTTCATTATCTGGAACTGAAAAATATAATCTAAGAAGTGAAATATATCATTTCCTGTTATCGTACATGTCAGATGAACAGAAGTTCCATTTAACAGCTAAACTATGTCAAGAGGTACAATAATAAATAATTATAGTGTTATTAAATGTTTAATTGCAATTAAACATTTAGTAACATAAATTACATTATTATTTGTCATTGTTGCGCCACATATGTATATTGTACATGTGCATGTACATGTATTTGCACCACATTAAGTTCATTATGTTGTAGTAATTCATTACATGTATGTGTGTGTGTGTGTATATATTGTTAGATATTAGGAGGTGTTGTTGAGCATAAGATACCAATTGATAGTGACAGTAGTGGTGTCATCAAAGATACACTAGCAATACTGGCCAGTCAAGTAAAGCCATCTCTTCTTGTCCTCTCTCTCTCTCTCTCTCACTCACTCTCTCTCTCTCTCATACTCTATTTAGTTCTTTGTCTTGTCTTCCTTTTCCTTATATCTCTTTCTTTTTTCAGAAAATAAAACATTCCAGTTTGTCTCACTCATCCCTTGATGAGGCTCAAGATGAGAGGGAGCTCCTTGAGGTTGCAGCAGTAGCTGCTCAAACTAAAATCATCTCACAAATAGTGAAGAGGAACATGATTGAGAACGTCATTCCAATCATCATAGCAACCAAACGACTGGTGAGAGAGAGAGGGAGGGAGGGGAGAAGTCTTTCATTTATTATAATTGATGTATGTGTAGTTTGAACAAATACAGTCTCCATTACAGCAAGATCTTCTTTACTGCCTCAGGGAAATAATGAAAGATTATAAAAATGAAATAAAAGGTACCAACAATAATACTCGTGTGCATATTGTCTTGTTTGTTTCTAGCGTGAGATATTTCTTTATCTTTTGTCTCTCTCTCTCTCTCTTTCATTAGATGTGTTATCTGGTGATGCTCAGTTAGCTTCAGAGATTGAGTTTGATTTGAGACGATTTGATGAAGAAATGAAAAGGAAACAGCAACAGGCAAACACAGTAGCCACTCCATTAGGACAACTGGTATGACTTTTAAATGTTCCTCTATAATTGTGACGTATTAGTATTACTGACTTTTGTAATATACCTATCATTTGTGTTTTATATATTTTTGTTTTGTTTTCTTTTCTATTCTTAGGCGTCTCCATTATTGAGTTCATCAGCTCACCCTCTCATTACTCCTCTCAGTAAACACAAAGGAATAACTGGAAGAGAATCAACTGATAGACTCTTGAGATCACCTCAGCTAAAGAGAACTCCAAGAAGAGACCCTGTTAGGAATATAGAGCCAATGTCACAGAGGAGGCCATTAAACACTGGAGGTAAGGTACTGTCTGCTGTGTGGATGAACCTTCGCAGTTGACTGATCTTAATTTGGTGGTTTTGTATGAGTGACTTTTAGCCCATTTGTCATTGAGCATGTTCAGAATAAAGCATAATAATAGTGGGCATAACATTGGCAATTTTTCTAAATACATGTACATGTACATGTACACAATGTATAGTGCAAAGACGTGAAGACCAAGGAAGTTGATTTATTTAATTGTTATGTTTAGGTATTGCAGCAACACCTGCTACTGCTAGGCCTCTTAACTCAACATTACTCGTTTCACAAAAAGCTCCTCCTCCTGCTCCTCCCACAATACAGATAACCACACCCATTGCCCCACCTATTGATCCTCCTATAACCACACCTACTGTATTAACTAATACTCTACTAAAGACTCCAAAGAAGAATCTTGCTAAGATGACCCTCTCAGCGAAGAAACAGTAAGAATTATTAAAATTATGAACCATCATCATTACTTTTATTAGAAGTCATGGTTATCAGGATATGTCAGCTATTGATGCTACATGTACTACTGATATTGCTACTAATGAAAGGATTGCTAGCACACCTCATGGTATGTATATTATTGTTCATTCATTCATTAATAGTAATGATAGTACATAGTACACATGTACATGTAGATTTTTAGCACTATTGCTGCACATGGTAGCATAACTGCATGTATTTTAACTTCCTTTTAAAAGATCTGCTGTATTTTGTCATTCAATTACTGTACAGTCTCTACAGTCTTTCTCTCTCCAGTAGATTTGAGTGATTGTGTATCATTCAATGCAGCAGTTCTCCCCTCACCAATACCAGCAAACACTAACATTAGATCTTATGTGAGGACTGAAGTACCAGCAAGCAACCGTTGTACAGCTGATATTATCATTAGACCACCTGAAGAAGGGTACGTACAGTGAGACGGAGAGTGCATGGGTGGTGGAATTATATGAATGAATTGTTTTATAAATATGCATTATTATTTATTTTGTGTCTAAACTTTAAAGGTGTGCACATTTTAAACTAGCATGGATAAAAAGTCTCCTAGCTAAAATTTTACTATATCAGTCGATGATTTTACTAAAATTGGGATGCAAAAGCAGCTCAACAAAAATTACTAGTATTGCAGCATGGTAAAGACATGTTACTTCATGTAGCATGGTATGGAAAATAATGTGAACCTCTTACTTCTTTTTTCTAGGCCAGAACAATTAGCTCCATGGAACATTACTTAATTATGTTAATCACTTATTGTTATTTCCATTTATTTTAAGGTTTGTATAATATGTTGCAACACTTTTTGTTAAAAACATCAGCAGCAAAGAGATGATTCAGCTCAAATATACATAAGGCAAGAAATGGCTGCAGTCAGGTCCTAACAGGTTAAGCAGAATATATTTAATTTTACTGCTAAAAAAATCTATTTTGTTGTTTACTTGTTTGTGTATGCTATACTCTACTCTGAAGTCTGTCTTATTATTGTTTGTGAATTACTCATAGACTCCTGTATACATTACAATAATGAGATAGTGCACATTGTCATATTTGTAAAGCAGTACTGAGACACTATTTCAAAGAAATTTTTTTAATAATCAATCTATAGATCTACTACAAAAATAAAAAGTGAAAGCAAGAAATGAAAAGGATAGATAAGAAAGGGCAATAGAAGAGACTGAAAGGAATTACAAATAGAAAATGGAAGGGAAGAGTGGAATTAAATTCAAGTAGAAAACAAGTTACATTTATAATAGGTAAACGTAGTAAAAAAGGCTTAAACTAAAAACTTTACGTGATACTCTAAAAGGAAGCAGTACAAGAAAAAAGTGGTAGTAAAAAGAAATGCAGGAAGAACACAATCAAATAAAAACAGTTAAAATAGAAAAAGTATAATCAGTACTAAAAGGCAGCAGAGTAATAAAAATAAAAAATAAATAAATTAGATCTTTATTGCTTTCAATGACTCTATTACTTGGGCCGTAGTAGGACGAGCTCTAGCATTAAGTCCTCTTTGTATGAGAGACTTCATGGGAGGCCAAGAGATAGTACCAGCTTGTTGTTCTCTCTTTGCTAGTGTCATTTCAGGCGGCAGGTGTAGTGTCATTTCCATGAGGAGAACAGAGTACCTGTAGACATCCATTGCTGGACTGTGTCGTTCAGGATCACGAGCTTCAGGAGCAGCATAAGCAGCATTGCCTGGCATAATAGTA